GACCGCTGTGTTGCTTGCTTCCCAGTTTTCCCACACTCACTATTTCACGCATCTCTACTTACTAAGAGCCTAAGGTAGGCTAATTCTCTTCACTCCCTGTCTTCAATCAGCCAATAGCAACTGCCATACTAACATGACTGACATCAGCCACCAACACATTAGCTTTCCAGGCGCTGCAGATTTAGGAAGGTTAGGGTAGTATTTAGGTTGTGGACAATCTCCCAAAGACTTTGATTCATCTTCTTTCTCGTCATCAGGAGACCTGCCTATTCAAAGATACTCTCTTGTGAATTTTGGGTATCAAGAGTGATAGCGGACATACTATACAGGGTATGAGAAGAGAGACGAGGAATGGTGGGAAGCGGAGGAGTTGGAATTAAGTCAATGGGTAAGTACACTCCTCAGAGTTCTCTCTCCAAGACGTGTTCTTACCATCAGACTAAAAAGGCAAAAACACAATTTTCCATAACTTTGCCCAGAGGAAAAAATGAAATGCTTGCTTAAGATCCCTGAAACTTTCAATTTATTGTGATATTTAAAATACCAACATTGGGGGATGGAGAACACTTACGAATTAAGGGAATTTTAAAGGATTATAGGTTTCGTATTTCCTTGAATAAGCACCCACACCTTTGGCCATAAATTGAAGTAACCGTCCCCCCTTCCTCACTTTCTTAAATGGTGGTGATACAACGAAAACCTTTTCTATTGCAACTTTATCCAAAACCTTTTGAGCTTCAGTTCCCGAGTTTCTTTTCGGTTCCAGACATTTCAGTCTTCATGCGCTTGTAGAATTCCCTTATGTATTTTACCTGTTGTTTTGATTTTTCTGCCCTATTAGTGCGCTAACTCAACTAACGCCTACTCGGTAAAGCGCCCTCCTACCGATAAGCGCCCTTAACCCCCCCCCCCCAACCTCTTTTAGCCGCAACTTTATGGGCGCTCGGGCGTTTGTTCGAGAAAATACGGTATTCACTTCTCCAAATAAGGGGGGAGGGGGTGGGGGCGTTCTTGCACCTATAGTCCTTCGCCAGCTACGCTCATGCAAAGTGTCCTGTTGCGCACTCAACCCCCCGCGGTGAAACGACAATTTTGCAGGCTGGTTTTACGAATCTATTTGACCAATTCAAAATGGACACCAACATACAATGGAAAGCAAAATATCCATTCTCACCTTTTTCATCGACGTCTTGGTAATCATAACCGAACTCGAAAGACTTCTTGAACATCTGTTGGTGAGTGTAAACCGGAAACAACGGCACAATGACGTCATGTCTGTTGTGACCAATGGGTGCATCGTAAGTGGATAGCACATTCGCATCCTTATTAAACTTCCGCAGCCATTTTTCATAGATACGATCCACAAACGCGTGATGAAGAGCAAAGATCGGTTTGATGCCGAAGGTACGTCCCCCATTTCTCCTCCAACAACTATGTGGACCCGGTTGTGCAAGCCGTGGACGTTAGGAAGGCGAAAACCAGTTTTGGTGCTAACATAACCCTCTAGGATGTTTCTAAAATTGCAGCTAGACTCTTTGTTGTGGGGTGGGAGGTCAAAGGTTTCAAAACGGAGCGCAAAGTTGACATCTGTTTTTGTTGGAAATGTCATAGTATATCCTTGTTCCTTCACTTTCTTCTCCTTCTCATCATCTGTGTTCCGTTTCAATCCATCTCTTCTGTCATCAGGTTCACACGGCTCTGTTAGGTCAGAGGTTTGTTCGCTGGTGCAAAGGACGTACCAGTTATCCAAGTATTTGCCCCTCACGATGCCAGTAGTTTGGTTTGTTACACCAAGGAGCTCTTCAGAGCAAATTGCAGGGTCGCATTGAGTGGGATTCCCAGTCCAGTCCCAGAAAGGAAGGGCAAATTCTTCATCGTTTCCAACTTCCTGCAAGGTTCTCTCCCATGCCAACAAGTACAACCGATGCCATGAGGGAAATCCCTGACCATCGTGTGCGAAGTCAATATCAGATTCAGTGATATCATGAGGTAAAATGGTGTCACTTGCAGCATAGTAATGCATCCACGTGAACAGGTCATAGTTCGTGATATTATCAAAAAGGTACGTTGGGTCGTCACCCTCCATAAGGGTTATGTTTATCTCCTCGTAAGGAGTAGACGTAACCATAAAGTCACTTACATAGTGCTTGGACATGTTGACGTATCTCATGTATCGATCTTTCTCCTCGGCTGTCAGGTTTAGAAAATTTCTTCGTATTAAATTTTTCTTCTGCGTGCAGTTCTTGCCATAGTAACCAAAGGCGCATTTGCTGCAATCGTAACCTGCATAGTTTGCGTTGCATTTGCAGACTTTGTGGTAAATAGCACGCGGCCAGTTGTGTCTCTCGTCCTCCATCTGGAACGGTCGATAATGGCTGTACTTGAATGTCCAATCACGAATGGTCAATTCTTGGCACTTTCCTCTGTCTCCATCGCAACCACATCGTGTGGTGAAGCCTTTGGGGATAGGACAACATATCTTGTCTCTCAGACTGTCCAGGTCAATGCAGTCTCTGGGAAACTGGCCTTCAACCCAGGGTAAAGTGACAACAAGAAAGACAAGGCATGCGATGATGGGGTAACCCATTTTATGATAGACTCCCTGAGAGATAAAATTTAGGTCTTATTGTTATCTGTCCTACGAGTCTAGAAGTCTAACAATTATATAAAACGTAGATATCTCTGTCTAATTTTAATAGTTCTAATAATAGTAATAACAATAATGATAAGAATTATAATAATGATGATGATAATAATAGAAATCATGAAAACTTTCAAATAGAGAGAAACTCGGTGTGTTTTTGGTGCTTGTTTTTGAGGAAAAGGTGAAACTCAAAATAAGAATTGTTATCTATAAACCTCACTAGGCCAGGGGAAAAATGTTAATTATTTTACACATTTTCTTTCGTGTTTTATCTAACTAAAGCCCAAAGTTAACTGATCCATCTTGCAAGAATATAAAAAGGGCCGGATGCCATCGAATCTTGAGTAAATGTTTCTTTTTTTATTCTCTTAATGTCACAAACGATTGGATTATGCATCTCGAAAACATTGACCTGTACTGTTTAGTATTCTGGTTCTTTGATTCTTTACGCTAAGTTATTCGTCACATGAAAATCCTCACAGCAATGAACCGTAATTTCGCTTTATCTCAAGAAGCTTAATTTTTTTGTTTGTGACTTTGAAGGCAACAACTTTTCAGATCCAAAATCTCCGGTTTAAATCCTTTCAAGTGATCCAGATTCCCAGAAACTTATCTTCCAGTTCACACCACGCAATTATTATTCATATTCTGGGAATTAGTCACGCAGTATATCCTGACTACCTAACAAACGAGGCTAAGACGATATGAATTTTCTTAATGTCATACGGGTTATCACTGTACGCTTGAAAAATATCCTGTTTCTTTGTTGTCTCTGTGACCTAGTTTCCAATAACAATTTTTTGGCGAGGAATCCATCACCGAAAATATTGACCAAAAGGTTTAAACTTCGAAATCCATTGCTGCTCGCTTGAGAAACTGATTTTCTTCACAAAGTTATTAGAAATGAGCGGCTTTTCTGGCGCAAAATATCTGCTACTTGAATCAAAAGAAAATTTCGTCACATAAAAAAAAAAACCACATAATTGACGCGATGCAACTGGATTAATTTCATAAAACGGGTCAACTTTCCCAGATAGCATCCCGTAAACATGTAAAGCATTTCTTGCTAGTAAATATAATTTTCGGCCCAAAATTAAACTTTATTGCAAGAGACCGCTTCGCCACTTTGTCATGAAAGCCTCCTTCGATTTTAGTCAGAGCCTGAATTCCTTCTTTAGAAGCACTCCCGAAATCAATCCGCGATCGGCCTACAACAAAAGCTTGCGCATTTCTGTTAAGGACTTTGACGAATTGAACATAGTTTGATCATCGGATGGTTGCGACATGTGCATCGAGTAGAATCCGCATTCTGTTTCTTGGATAGTCATCGTTTGAAATGTACCTTGAACATTGTTACATCGAAAGCAGTACATAAATCCTTTGTAGCGATCATCTTGTGAGCGTCTCTCTCAGAAGACTGCTGTAGTGCCGTCAGCTTTGCATACGTCGGCGATTTGTACACCATGTGTTTTGTCTAGACCTCTGAATCGCTTCCAAGAATTCAGCAAACATACTTGACGAGCTACATTATTTCATCCTACAAATTTCAAGTCAAGGCACGAAATAACATCTTAGCGAGCATTAGATAGAGACTACTACACAGCAGATGCGAAGGTACAAAGTCTCTGCACGGTTTTCACTCATTCATCGAACATAAATAATATAACTTTCCGGGTATGCGCTAATCTTGTCAGCACTGCTGATATAATCAGTCTGTGTCATTCAGGTGCTTGTTGCTTTAAGGTTTCACAAAACTGTAGCATGGTGACGCCTATAGTTCATTGAAAATCTCTCTGAACTTCTCCTATCTACCGAGAAGAAGGGAACCTGGCAACATACATAATCCGCGGCGCGGAACTTCCCCCGCGGATATAAAATCTTTGCGCGCTTCAAACGTGGAAGTAACGCGGCAATCACTAGAAAATCATAATAAAGGTGTACCTGATCGACTACCTTGTTAACTTTGCACCCGTAGCGCTTTTGTTTCCTAGGACTGAAAGTTTTGGTATCCTTTCCCGAATGCCTCTTGAACCAGATAACGCGCTTATGCCCACGGAACGCTGGAACGTATCGCGTGACTTTCGTTTACCCAATGTGTGGAGTGGTTGGCGAGGCGGGGGGGAGGGGGGCGAATAAGGGGTAGATTAAATACAAAATAACGACTGGTAAAGAATTAACTTGCGTGGCCGATGAATGGGGGCCTGTGAAGGGCAAAGTTGATATAACGGCGATGTGTGATCGCCAGGATTTCCCACCCGGATCTTGTTATCCTAAAATAAGCACCGGCGTAACTGCCGCCTTCCCGCCCCACCCCCGTCGTGTGCAAAGCACGCAGGTTAGTAAATAATAGACACAGTTCACTCGTGGTCGCATTTAATCAAAAATTAGACTTTAAATATCGAGATGTACTAATATAACGCGCCTTTTCATATGTAAAAAAAAGAAAACCTTCGTCTTCTTGAAGGCTTTGGTGCGTTTTTGAATGGTTAGATTATGAGATTACTTTACTTCACATGCGAATCAGTCGCTTCTGTAATGTTCTTAATACTTCTTTACTAAGCTCAGCACAGCTAAACTCCTAAAAAATTTAACTCATCCCTCTTATATTGTTTATTCTCAGTTATTCTTTCTAATCTTTCCAGACGTAAGTCCACTGTACTTCATACTACTGTACATTATCGTACTGTGCTCTATTCTACGACTCTGCCATTTCTACTCTTCTCTTCCTTCCTCCTCACTTCTTCTCTCTTAGCCTGTTTCAGCCTCTCATCAGCGAAGACGAGCGAAAAAGCGAACACGTGAAAAATGGCGCGCGCGTTAACTTGCAGGCAAGCGGGCGTAATCTGCAGACGTCTCCGTAGTAACTGCAACCACCGCATCCCGCTTGCTTCAACACAGCGGTCCAACTCTACGTTTATTCCCTTCTACAGATTTTGATGTACGTTTCAATTTTCTTTCGTTTATTTTAGGAGACAGGAGCTGTTACTTACGTTTTTCTATAAAGTTTTGCGTACAAAAATGGCGCGCGGCCTGCCAAAATTGATCCCCTCGCGCACGCCCGACGTTTGACCGCTGTGTTGCTTGCTTCCTGCCCCCCCCCCCCTTCTATTTCACGCATCTCCACTTACTAAGAGCTTAAGGCCGGCTAATTATCTCCACTCCCTGTCTTCAATCAGCCAACAGTAGCTGCCATACTAACATGACTGACATCAGCCACCAACACATCAGCTTTCCAGACGCTGCAGATATAGGGGGGCCAGTTGGACAATCTCCCAAAGACTTTGATTCATCTTCTTTCTCGTCATCAGGAGACCTGCCTATTCAAAGATACTTTCTTGTGAATTTTGGATAGCAACAGTTATAGTGGACAAACTGCACAGGGTATGAGAGGAGAGACGAGGAATGGTGGGAAGCGGAGAAGTTGAAATTAATATAAATGAATGAGTAAAGACACTCCTCAGAGTTCTCTCTCCAAGACATGTTCTTACCATCGGACTGGAAGGCAAGAAAATAAATTTGCCATAACTTTTTCCAGAGGAAAAAATGAAATGCTTGTGTAAGATCACTGAAACTTTCAATTTATTGTGATATTTAAAATACCAACACAGGGGGAAGTGGTAAACACTCACGAATTAATCGATCTTTAAAGGATTATAAGTACCGTATTTCCTCAATAAGCGCTCACTCCTTAGGCCATAAATTGAAGTAACCGTCCCCCTCTTCCTCACTTTCTCAAATGGTGGGAAGAAAGGAAAACCTGTCTCTATTGCCACTTTATATATAACTTTTTGAGCTTCAGCTCCTGAGTTTCTTTTCCGTTCCAGATATTTCTGAGATTTCTTTTATGTGCTTTACCTGTTCTTATAAATTTTTTTTCTCATCAGTGCGCTAACTTAATAAGCGCCCCCTCGGTAAAGCATTCTCCTACCAATAAGCGGCCTCCCCCTTCCCCCTCCCCCATCACCCTTTTAGCCGAAATTTTATGAGCGCCAAGGCGTTTGTTCCAGGAAATACGGTATTCACTTTTCTCAAATAAGGGGGTGAGGGGGTGGGGGGCGTACCCGCACCTTTGGACCCCCGCCAGTGTCATATTGCGCACCCCATCCCACGCGGTGAAACGAAAATTTCGCCGGGTGATTTAAAAAATCTAGTTAACCAATTCAAAACACGGACATTGCCTGAAAAAGATTGGGCAGGCAGAGGAGTTCTGACTCTCATAATTAACTAGTCTCATGAAAGTCAACCTAAATACAATGGAAAGCAAAATATTCTTTCTCACCTTTTTCATCGACGTCTTTGTAATCATAACCGAACTCGAAAGACTTCTTGAACATCTGTTGGTGAGTGTAAACCGGAAACAACGGCACAATGACGTCATCTCTGTTGTGACCAATTGGTGCATCGTAAGTGGATAGCGCATTCGCATCCTTCTTAAACTTCCGCAACCACTTTTCATAGATACGATCCACAAACGCGTGATGAAGAGGAAAAATCGGGTCGTTTGATGCCGAAGGTACGTCCCCCATTTCTCCTCCAATAACTATGTGGATCCGGTTGTGCAAGCCGTGGACGTCAGGATGGTGACGACCAGATTCGGTGCTGGCATAACCCTCTAGGATGTTTTCAAAATTGCAGCTAGACTCTTTGCTGAAGGGTGGGAGGTCAAAGGTTTCAAAACGGAGCGCAAAGTTGACTTCTGTTCTTTTTGGAAATGTCATATCATATCCTTCTTCCTTCTTTTTCTTCTCCTTCTCATCATCTGTGTTCCGTTTCAAGCCATATCTTTTGTCGGTGGGGTCGCACGCCTTTGTTAGATCCTCGGTTTTTTCGCGGGTGCAAAGGACGTACCAGTCATTCAAGTAATCTCCCTTTACAGTGCCAGTAGTTTGGTCCGTTACGCCAAGGAGCTCTTTAGAGCAAATTGCTGGGTCGCATTGATTGGGATTCCCAGTCCAGTCCCAGAAAGGAAGGGCAAATTCTTCATCGTTTCCAACTTCCTGCAAGGTTCTCTCCCATGCCAACAAGTACAACCGATGCCATGAGGGAAATCCCTGACCATCGTGTGCGAAGTCGATATCAGAATTCTTTTTATCATTAGGTAAAATGGTGTCACGTGCAGCATAGTAATGTATCCACGTGAACAGGTCATAGTAAGTTACATCATAAAATAAGTGCTTTGGATCGTCACCGTTCATAACGATTTCGTTTATCTCCTTGTAAGAAGTAGACGTAACCACGAAGTCGCTTGTATACTTCTTGGACATGCTGACGTATTTCATGTATCGGTCTTTCTCCTCGGCTGTCAGGCTTAGAAAATTTCTTCGTATCAAATTTTTCTTCTTAGTGCAGGTACTGCCATAGTAGCCAAACGCGCATTTGCTGCAATCGTAACCTGCATAGTTTGCGTTGCATTTGCAGACTTTGTGGTAAAGAGCACGCGGCCAGTTGTGTCTCTCATCATCCCTATGGGACGATCGGTAATGGCTGTACTTGATTGTCCAATCACGAATGGCCAATTCCCGGCACTCTCCTCTGTCTCCATCGTAACCACATAGTGCGTTGAAGCCTTTAGGGACAGGACAACATTTCTTGTCTCTCAGGCTGTCCCGGTCAGTGCAGACTCTGGGAAACTGGCCTTCAACCCAGGGTATAGTGACAACAACAAAGACAAGGTATGTGATGGTGGGGTTAACCATTTTATGAACGACTCCCTGAGAAACAAAATTTAGGTCTTGTTGTTATCGGTCCTTCGAATTTAGACGTTCAATAATTATGTGAAACAGATATCTCTACCTGATTTTAATAGTTTTAATTATGGTTATGACAATGATGATAAGAATTACAATAATGGTGAAGATGATAGTAGAAAAACTTTCAAATAGAGAGAAACTGGGTATGCTTTTTTTGCTTGTTTTTGAAGAAAAGATGAAACTCAAGACAAACGAGGTTAAGGCAATATGAATTTTTTTTAAATATCATACGGGTTATCACTGTACGCTCCAAACACATCTTGTGTCTCTGTTGTCTCTCTCACCTGGTTCTCACGCTTTTTTGGCAACGAATATATCACCGAAATATTTACCAAAAGGTTTAAACTTCCAAATCCATTGCTGCTCGCTTGAGAAACTGATTATCTCCACAACGTTATTGGAAATGAGCGGCTTTTCTGGCGCAAAATATCTGCGACTCGAATTAAAAGAAAAGTTCATCATATCAGGTCCTCAGCTTACAAAGCTACATAATTGACCGCGATTCAAGTGTATTAATTTCATAAAATGGGTCAAATTTCCCAGAAAGCATTCCGTAAGCATATATAGCAAGTCTTACTAGTAACTATAATTTTCGGCCTAAAATCAAACTTTATTGTTAGTGACCGTTTCGTTATTTTGTCATAAAAACCTCCTTCGATTTTAGTCAGAGCCTCGTTCTCTCTTTAGAAGTAACTCCCGAAACTCGAAATCAATCCGTGATCGGCCTACAACAAAAGCATATGCATTTCTGGCGGACTTTGACGAACTGAACATAGTTTGATCATCGGATATTTGAGACATGTGCATCGAGTAGAATCCGCATTCTGTTTCTTGGATAGTTATCGTTTCAAATGTACCTTGAACATTGTTACAACAAGAGCAGTATATAAATCATTTGTAGCGATCATCCTATGAGCGCCTCTTGATTTAGATCGGAGCGTCGAGGTAAGATCACATGTCTTCCTTGATAACTAGTTTAATTAAAGCAAACCTTCGTCTTCTTTTAAACTGCAAGCTTAGTTGTTCTTAAGATTTTGAAAATTTCTCTTCTTGTTCCTCTATTTCGTGGTTCTGTTGACAAGTCGACTGAACAGTAAAACTAAATTGCAATGAAACTATAACCCATCTATTTTGATGGATTCTTAGAAAAAGGTTCTTCAGAATGACAGTACAGCGTACCTTTGTTCTCAAGATTTCTTAGAATTCTAGGCGTCTTTACAGGACTTTAGACTCTCCCTATAAAATATACCTTTGGTAGACGCTGCCGAATTTTTCTTCTCTCAGAACACGGCTGTAGTGCCGTCAGCTTTGCATGCGTCGGCAATTTTTACACTAAGTGTTTCGTCTTGAGCTCCGAATTGCCCCCAAGGATTCAGCAAACGTACTCGTCAAACTGCATTGTTTCTGTCTTCATGCGACAAATTTCAAGTCAAGGCACGGAATAACACGTTAGCAAGCATTAGATAGAAATCACTAAATTTATTTCTGAATTAATCGACATAACAAAGCAGATGCGAAGGTACAAAATCTCTACACGGTTTACACTTATTGTTCGAACATAAATAATATAGCTTTCCGGGAATGCGATCTTTTTGTCTGCTGCCGTATGAATATATAATTAGTCTGTGACATTAAGTTGTTGGTTTCTTGAAGGTTTCACAAAACTGTAACATGGTAACGGGTAAAGTGAAATATATCTTCGGTAGACGCTGCAAACTTTTTTTGTCAGAAGACTGCTGTAGTGCTTTCAGCTTTGTATGCGTCGGCGATTTGTACGCTGCGTTTTGTTTTGAGCTCCGAATTGCCTCCAAGATTCAGCAAACAAACTTGACAAACTGTATTATTTCTGTCTTCATATTATAAATTTCAAGTTTAATTACGGAATAACATCCCAGCAAGCATTAGTTAAAAAGCACTAAATTCGTTTCAGAATTAATCTACATGACACAGCAGATGCGAGGGTACAAAATCTCTACACGGTTTTCAGTCGGTGATCGAACATAAATAAGAAATCTTTCCGTGAATGCGCTCTTTTTGTCGGCACTGCTGTATGAATACACAATCACTCTGTGTCATTCAGGTGCTATTTGCTTGAAGAATTCACAAAACTGTAAAGTGGAGACGTGTTTAGTGCGTTGAAAATCTCTCCTAACTTCTCCTAGCTACCGTCAAGAAGGGAACTTAGCAACATACATATCCGCGGCGCGGAACTTCCCTCGCCGAATAAAAACCTTTGCGCGCTTCAAACGTGGAAGTAACACGACATTCATAAGGAAAACAAGATCAAAGTGTACCTGAACGACGAGCTTGTTAACTGTGCACTCGTAATGCTGAAACTTTTGGTATCCTTTCCTGAACACTTCTTGCACCGAAGAACGCGCGAATGACCACGGAACGCTGGAATGTACCGCGTGACTTTAGTTTACCAAAGGAGGAGTAAGCAATGTTTCGTCGGTCAGGCTCCAGTCGATGGCTAGCTCCGTTGTTAGGCATGCTTTCAAATTAGATGCGACTGTAAATAGACGATCATGATCCGGTGTTTTCACCGTTCTTAATTTTGAACAATTTTTCGCATTCGTCAGTCCGAAAGACAACCCCAATCCATACCACGGGTTTCTTGTTTGAAGCAATAAACTGTCTGTAGTTTTCTCAAATATCATTTTGGTAACATTGTTACTCAAATCAGGAATAACATTTTTTTACGATCGTCATGCGTGTCTGCTTCTGAGGGTGCGCGCTATGGTGAAAATGGGGGGGGGGGGGGGGAGTAGGTTGGAGAGACGACAATATCTCGTTCCAAGCGCAAATTTTAAAAGAAAAATACAAGGTATTGTGGCTAAAGCGATAAAGAGCAACGTTCTTACCTAAATAGTTCCATTCACAACCAAAAAGGTAACGTATTTTCTTTCCCCAAAAAGGGGCGCGGTTTGGTAAATATTTAACTGAACAATCATACTGCTTATAGGGCATACATATGTCTAATTTTGCTTCGTTGTCAGGAACTTGGGGTCCGAGCGCAATATGAGAAAGATATAAGTAATACAGCAATGAGTGCCACAACACTCGACCCAGGTCAACAAAACCTTTTCTTTTTAATTATTTAGATTAAACACAAACAACTCCTATGTACACAGGAAAAGACTCATCTGAATAACAAGCAGTTTGTCATTGTTGACGATGTAAAGAGCCAGCGGTTATCAACAATAGAGTTGTTGACACATACGGGGTATAGAATCCGCGTCACGATAACGTCACGAAATTCAGGAAAAAGTCATGAATGGACCGAAATGCTTACATTGGCCCATGGGAATAATCCTCGTTCCACAACGAACATTTGACTAACACAGCTCGCGGTTCCTGACAGAAATTTTTGTCACGTAACCTGATGTTTTAATCGACAGAAAACTAGGATCTTTGTACAAGGACAAATATATTTTGAAAATGTCTTTTCGACGCAAGTTCTGTCTCCTTGAGTAGTAGTTTAACAGAAGTTCATTACTTTTAATGATACGACAATTTTTGGCTGTTTCATCGTTTTCTCTTCGCACTCCGACTGTCGTGATCCCTGGAAAAAAAAAAATAAATAGAATAGAATAGATTATCGCCGAGGAGTATTTACAGATTGATTCTGAGTCGAACTGAAATTAACAAAACAAAATCACAATCACAAATAAAGGAAATAAGTCTCTGAAGAAAGTGCTGTGCTGTGTCGGTAAAAGGGGGTGGGGTGGGGTGGGGTGGGGTAGGATGGACGGTATTATCAAATAATTTGGTTTTATCACCTATTTTTTCGAGGTAAATTGGCCACCGTAAAGAGTTTCTGAAGCTGGCGTTTCGACAAAAGGGCAAACGTTCTAAACGTCAGCTTTTTTAAACTCTTTCCGGTGGCCAATGTACCTTATCAAAATACTAGATAAAAAATTTATTCACAAATGGCTTAATTTATCGATCGCGCCAGCTATTAGGACGCCTGTTCCACATGAACCTATCTGGACCGGTGAAAGGAGACAATTTTCTCATGAGCGAAAGACATTGTTTAGGACAATGAATTTCACCTCGAGGAGGAGGGTACGGCTACACGTAGGCTATATTCAACCGGCCATGTTTGATTTGGAGTTAGAGTCGATGATGGGGGGAGGGGGCGGGGAAAGGCGAAATCTTTTACTCTCCCACCCCCACCCATTTCCTCACTTTTTACTGTCGCTCACCCCCTTGGTACAATTTTTTTTCTCCCTCCAGCCTTCCTCTGCCATTTAAATCAAAGATGGCGACCAAAAAGATGGCGCGCCAAAACTACGATCTTTCTAGTTCTGTTTACACACAAATTAAACGATCGATTATCATCAGAGTGTGAGGTATATAATACCTTGATCTGGAGGGTTCGTCTAACGGCCTCTTTCCTTTTTTAGCCTCTGTAAGAAACTTGTCCAAACCAAAAGGATCCTCCTCTTCCTTTTCGAACTGAACTGGCCCGTCACGCCGCTGACCACGATCTGTGCCAGCAAATCCCTTGTCAGGCTGAAACCTGAAAAAAAGGAAAGTGCCGATTACATGATATAAGAACAATTTGTAAAACAGCCGTGAAAGTGGGAGGAATGTAACAGCCAAACCATCTCATCTTAATCCTTTAACTCCTCTTCAATTTCAGCTTACAAAGTCAATCCAATATCAACCAGACAAGTGATGAGAATAAGCAAAAAAATATATTATTAGTTGATCCAATACCAAATTCTCCGAAGTAACATCATCAGAATTGTAAGGCTGACAGTAAGGAGAATTACTAAAGAGATCTTGGGAGTAAAAAGGCTAAGCAATAAGTCCCTCGTTGTTCAATTGAAAAACTACTCTCAAAATTAGCGAAAGGACAGAACATTTCTGCATTCTTCGGAACAATGTTTTTCAATATTTTCAAGCATCTATTTCGCCACATAGCACTGTAAATAATGAAAAAAGCTCATCAAATTGTAAATAATAATCTATTACCGTTTTTTTGATTTGTCAACTAAATACTTTAATCGAAGCCAAACTAAAAGTATAAAAAATATTAAATTAAGGTTTAATATAATATACTTTTTAATATATCAACCCCCCCCCAAAAAAAAAAAAAAAATTCTTCCTTGACAATAATCTCAAAGGGAATATAACGAGGGGCAGAAGAAAGTCCCACAGTGCTCGGTTCTTGGTTATCACAGTTAATTACCTGCTTGTTTGAACCAGTTTTTCCAGATCATCTCCATAAACATCGCGGTCCACATTCTTGCTCGGCCTATAGATTGCATTGGCTGTGCTGCCCTCTCGTCTCCAGGCCTTGTCGTACACATTGTATCCATCGTCATCTCCAGCGAATCCGGAGTCCAGGCCCTAACGGACAAGACACAAGAATGTCAAAGAGTGGTGGAAGGGGGAGGGTTATGAACTAAATACAATTGGATCGGTAAGCAGGTGGGGGGGTGGGGGTGGGGGAAAGGGATACGGCGGCAGATTCAGGATCTTCCTTCGAGGGGGGTGCACCATTAAGGAATGACGTAATTAAAGGGTGACCAGGCAATAACACAACTTGAACTACTGATAGTACATTACAAATAATACAGCAGATTTTGTAAAAACCATTTGTATGCATATAGGAAAGCCGCAAGTCAATTCGAGGGGGAGGGGGGTGTACACCTCTGCACGCGTCACCTAGATATGCCCTTGAAATAATACGAAAAAGACGCATAATTGTGACATAAGCTGTAGTGACTTACCTTGCTTTGATTAAATAATCGCTGATCAAACATTGCTTCCTGTGAGGGAGGAGCAGAAGCCAGGCCTAATGCAATCTGCTCACTTATGTCACGCTCTTTGTCACGCTGAAGTTTGGACCTGTAGGAACAATCAGTCATTCCATGTAAGTGCGCAAAGATCTACCGTTACCACTGATGTGAATACCCTAATCGATGTCTATTTTGAACGACAAGCAGAGTTTTTGCATAGTATACGGCTTCAGCCACTCCAAGGAAATAAGAGTAAATTACAGTATATGGGTGGTGATCAAGCTTCGCTATAGTCAAGATAAAAAACATTTTACTTTAAATAAAAGTAGATATAGAGAGTATGTGAAAAGTTATTTCACCTTAGCCAAGGTATTTTTTTCGTCCTATAACAAACGTGGAAAAAAAATCTGACTTCCTATGAGGAATCGTAGCTCAGGTCTTTGGATTCTGCGCTCCGAAGCAGTACTCTTCCATTGAGCCACAGAGACTCTCTATGGGTGAGTCAGACCAATACTACGTTCATATTTAACAAGGATCCTGACGTCGAAAGCATCATGTGCGTAAATACAACACAAAAAGTTTTCTGTCTCACACGCGCGAGAAGAAGAAAAGAATCTTTCTCCATTTCATTACCGAGCTCAAGTTCTTAATCTAATTCCTTCAGGTACCTTTTATCGGGTGCAGCTTTAGAGATTCTACGATCTCGTTCTCTCTCCTTGTGTCGTTCATGACGCAGCTGGTCTCTTTCTCTCTCCTCTTCAGACCGCTCTAAAATACGGGTTTTAAACAGGACAGCAATTTTGTTAGAGGAGACGCGTAAATATCACTTCACTTGCGACTAGAGGTGTTCAATGATTTCACACCAATTTACAAATGGAACCTGTTTTGAATTTGGATCATCCCACATCAGCTAGAACCCAATTTTGTTTAATCCCTTTTTTATGATAGAAATTTCCAATATTTCTTTATCCCTCGTCATTTTATTTTACTGTATTCAAACTTTATTTCTCTAGGGTCCATCGTTCATTGAGATCCTATTCGCAAGAAGAAAACTGCTTGTAGTTACTACTGTAAGCTCACCACCAGTGGTTTTAAAAAAGAAAGAATTTAAAAACTTGGAACGTTTGCCTCTTTCTTTCTCTCGGCAATTATATCGCACAAACCTTTCCGGGCATTCCTACGAGTAGGATTTTAACAGACGCGTAACTCGATTTTATGTATTCACGGTGAACCAACAAGAGTTGCGCTGTAATTGCAGTGTGAAATAACTGGACTTTACAGTTAAAATACGCCCCTCGGTTTGTTTTGAAAACTGCACGATTTACCTGCAGTAGCTCTGATGCCAGCTCGTTCTTCCCTGGCTTGCTTGGCCAGCGCCGCCAACTTCTGCTCTTTCTTCTCCTTCTCTCGCTGTGCAACCTTCTTTTCCAGCTGAGCTCTCATTTCAACAGCTTCCCGAGCCTGACAGAAATTTCAAACAAACAAATTATTCTCAACACAATGCGCTGTCTCTCTGTCATATTCAAGGTACACAATGGTAATAAAATAATGATAATAAAAAAAGTTATTGCTTGCAGTACGTAGTGCTATTTACAACAAAAAGATCAATAGCGCCAATGGTACAAGTCAATGGCCAATCCTCAATAAAATTATAAGGATGTCATGAGGAACTTTACTCTCAAAGTTTCTCTCTCCACTCAGCGGCATAATCGGCACCAACGACCTCTAAGAGAAACCAGACGAAATGCTTGAGGGTGGAAGGGGGAAGCCTTGCAATGGATCAACATCCCATCCGAGAGGGAGTAACATTAGTGCTATTTGCTTTATGCAAATAGCACTGGGGTGAGCTTGCAGTTCAGACTTCTCCCCCTTTTTAGTTTCAAAACGTGGAATGTGGTGCAGTGATAGGAGTCTTGCCTCCTCCGGCTTGTTAAAAATTGCGTGTGTATGTTGGGCACAAAATTAGCAACCACTGAGTGAAATTACCAAAATTCAGCCAAAATGATGCAAAATACCACATGACATGAAAGATCTGGTAAGTAAAACATTATTCTGCACTTTGGTGACTTTTTGTGATTTATGGGAGCAAATTTCCACAGTTCATAATGACCAAAATTTATCCAGATAAATGGTAAATGTGATTTTCTGGTTTAGAGGCAAGAAAAGAAACTAAACATTTTCAAATGTTATTTCGTTGTTGAGTGATATTAAAAACAGTTATAAAGTACATGTGTTGGGCCTTTACAAGTCATTCTCCATAAAGTTCACCTTTCTGTCTGCTATGTACAGTGCTTCAGCCAACTTTGCAAACTTGTCATTGATGTGGGGGTCTTGAAGACCACGCCCATCTGCGGCTAGACGTTTGTCAAGAGGGATGGTGTACCCCTACAGCCAACAACAACAAAACAAATACTTTAACATTTTATAGCCTAACATCAGTATGCATATTTTCCATATGTAGCCCTTGATTCAGAGAAGCACATGCTGTAAAGAGCCTTCCCTCGATTTCTTTTTCTTAAGTACATTTTAAAATTGTCCTCCAATCAAATTACCTTGGCATTCTTCCAGTTGGAAATACAGGGAGGGATCTTCCACTCCTGCTGTTCTTTCACAGTCACCTGAGGAAAAGAAATACTAATTGTAGCATTTTTCAAGTCACAGCCCAAAATTCCAACTAAATCTAAACTCCCTTACAACCAGTGGACACAGGACAATTCTGTGGAAACACTACAGCTTATTAACATATCTTTGGGCCTTTCCGCACTAGCAGACAAAACTAGAATTGTCCCAACAAAATCAAATGACAAATTTTAGTTTCATCTGTTGCACCTGCATTAAAAATTTCAAAGCCGTCAAATTAGAAAGATACTCCCCAGGCAACATCCACCTAAAAAGTCTCAGTAGTACTCTTAAGAATACTGCCTTCCTGGATTTGTGAAGGAACATTCATTTGATGGGCACTTTCTCACATACCTTTCTGCTTGGTGAGTGCATTACTGGTGCAGGAGGTGAGGGGGGTCCCCTAGGGATCTTCTTGTTTGTTCTAAAAATATACAAGACAAGTGTAAGATTACTGTTTAGATATGCATCAAAGTACTTTCATTTTCTTAGTAGCCTTCCTTCCATCAAAATTCTAAATAATTTTTTTAAGCTACAAGGGGAAGATAATTCGGCAGATCAGTGATGAGCAGAGAAGACTTAGAGTGAATTCCCAGGCAATCTGCTCCAAGAATTCTTCAACAGTAATATGCTTATGACAATCTTAAACTTGTCATCAGCTTTGTCTGGAAACTGATTGATCAATGGGCAGACTGAATGATAATCTGTCAATTTTCTCTCAAGAAGATGAAAAAAGATAGTGTTAATGAAAAATAAGAACATGTAGATAACTCATCCAAACTTTACAGTCACAACTTTGGGAAAAAAAAAACTTAAAGATTCAGTATGTTGTAGTACAGAAGTATTCAAGGTATCCAGTCACTTTGCACCCACTGCCATTTTTTATCCAAATGCAGTAGATTCATACCCAGTTTGGGTTGGTTTGAAACCCAAGTTTAAGTTGGTTCGTACCCAAACTCCTGGTCAATTTACACATGCTTTCAAAATACCTCACACAAGAGTGCGTGAACAGATGTCAATCATTGTGTATGACAAGTTAGTAGAGTCAAGTGAGTAAGTAACGAACAAAATTGTCTTGTGTACATGTGTACTCGTGACTCTCTTAACCAAAACAACTTAATTATTGCCTAGCACAAGGCAAGCATGATATTATTCACAGAAAAGTCTATTGTTTATACCCATGACTTTTTTAATAATAACAGTTTGTGAAAGTGTGATACTTTTTTACTAGTTGTCAACATGGAAAACATACTTTACTAGTTTGGGAACAAAACAACTGAGCTGGATACAAAATGACTCAACTGACTGAGTATGAAATGACTGTTGGTAAGAAATGATCTGTAATCTATTCAATTGCCATACTTAAATCTTGGTGGCTCCATAGGATCTTTCTGCATCTCCACCATTCTTATGACTCGCTGTTTAGCACCAGAGTTGAAAGCTACTCCTTGCTGGGAAGGTGTGTATCTGATGTACTGGGCTGCCTGTGGCTTCTGAGCAACCTGGGTGGGCTGTGCTGCAGCAATTTTTGTTGTAACTTCTTTTTCCAGAGCTTCTCTTGTTTTCCTGGTTGTCTGAAGTTAATTCATTTCAGAAAAAATAAGTTAATAGACTACAAGATATTAAGGGATCCTTGAAATAATGCAGATAAGTTCATAAATCCAAAAAGTATTGAGAGAATGCTAAAGAAAGGAATTAGACAGCTAACAATGTTGTCAGTAAAAACAAATTTCAATGAAATTCTCTTGAGAGAAAAAAACACTTATCTATTTTTTTTTATTCTGATGACAAAACCGACTAAAAATAGACAGATTCTCTAACACAGAGCTACAAAGAAGGTATTGCTGAACAACACTGTGTGTTTTGGTCACATTATAAGCAGGTTAATTTACCTCTTCAATATCTTCCTCTGATGGTCTTTCTAAGTCGGGATCACCTTCATCTTTTAAATGTACAGGAACTAAGTCTTGGAATCTGGAATGCACAACCTGAAAACATAAGAAAAATAAATTAAAAACTGAATTTGATACCAAATCAACCAAGAGGTATTGTTATTACTAATCTAAACAAGACACAGTGCAAAATTTTAAGTTATGTCTTTTAAATCATGGAAAATGAATTTAAAGTAACAGCGGAAAAGTGTTAACTCTCAAAATCTGGCATAGTTTGATGCTACTCTTGTTTGCAGATTTAATGAATGTAACTGAAGAAGTTACAATTCATAGACCCAACGTTTCGACACTCCTGTCTAGTGCCTTCATCAGGGGTGATCTAAACGCTGCAACAAGAGGTTCTTTTCTATGATCACTAATTAGAGGCCTTTTTTTCTGATGAGGTGTAAATAGGTGTCAGGAAGCAAACCGCCATCGTCACGATTTAAAGGAGCATGGGCGGAGTTAATATGCCAAGCCTCCAAACAAAGGCGCTGGTGGTAACGCCGATTAGTGGTGATAATTTTAGAATTATCCCACCCAATTGTATGGTTGGTTAGGCATGTATGCTCTGATAAAGCTGAATTTTCCTTTTTGCAAAGAAAAACTGCTTTTTGGTGCTCTTTTAACCGTGTACCAAACTGACGTTTGGTCTGTCCAATGTATTCGTTGTCACAGTCATTGCAAGGAATAGAATAAATGGCGTCGGTTCGTTGTTCTTTCGTGACAGGTCTGATATTGTGATGAGAAATTAGATGCTAGTCATTTTTAGGTGTCAAAGAGTTGCTGGGAGGGGTACATGTAAAAATGATATTGTCTCTAACGCTTATTTCTCCTGGAACCATAACCAGGTTTTGTTACCTTATCTTTGCCATGTCCCTGTTTAACAAGAGCATCATACTTCACTCTGCCTTTTGAATCAAGCTGCACTGGTAGAGCATTTGTTCCTGAAGCAGGCTGTAACATACAATAAACACAAAGTCATAAAACATCAGAAGTGAGAGTTCCAAAGGCTAAGAAAAACATAATTCACATAACACTCTTATCCCTTTAAAGACAACATATCTGACCTTTTTTGTTCGCCCCATGTCCAGAGGATACCTGAAAGATTCTTGTTAAGGAAAGTTTTGGTCAAACATAATCAAACCTTTTACTTAGACCATAGCAAGTTAATTAAATACACATTCAAAAATCTATTTTTATATAAGCCTCTGGCTAGTTCTCATTTATATTCATGGTTGGAGAGAGACACTGTAAGGGTAAAGTTACAAAATGATCCAGTCACACCTTGAACACAGACCAACCAATCCACTGTCTAGTACAGCAAAAGGCCACAAGTTCTGTTATAAATATCTTTATAGTAACTCTCTTCAAACAAAATCTCATAATGAAGATGATTAGCCAAAACACTGCTTATTGTGCTCTCTTGAGCAAAAAAAAAAAAATACACATAAGGATACTGTGCCACATGAATTTCGGGAAAAGCACCACCATCACCAAAGTCCTGAAGAACAAAAACAATCAACATAACAGTATGTTAAACAATCTCAAGTTTGACAATATATTTTACTATACATCAAAACAGTGGACAGTGTTAAAGGCATGCTCTGATTGGCTACTTTAACTCAAAATATCTTTTACTATTCACATCCGAGTGCCAAGCGTAGTATTTGCAAGTGTTGAAATTATCCTTTTGTGCTGTATCATCCCAACAACTATTCACAGCAGTGTCAGTGGCTAGCCACAGATATTTACCTCACCAGTTATAAACTCAGTAAAGAACCACCACTAGCCACTGGCACTTCAGTGAATAGTTGTTTAATATCCTGATATCTTATGTGCATGAACCTGTATATCAGTAAGAGTGCATTTAAAGGAAGAAAATTTCAGAATGATCATTCTCAAGCTACATCGCTAGTTTGAACATGTAGCTTCACTGCCTTCATTTTTTTTCAAATCAAAGTGATTGTAATAGTGGCAACAAGGAATTTTTCCACATTGTACCAATAGCTAAAGTTTATCCTTATATTTCACCAAAAATTACAGTGCAAATACTTCAATGTCTGCAAACATTTAAACAATTAAGGCTTAATATCAATGAGAGGGCAAGCCTTTTCTGTAATTTGAAAATGGCTACGTACGCACTTAAACTTTACATTCCTTCCTTGCAAAATAAAGCTTATTTTTTTCTATGATATGCCACATTCTTCTGAAATGCAACGTTTACTAAAGAAAACATGTGACTATAACTAAAATAGAGGAACGTGATTGTTGTCGAAGCTGCCATGTCAAGATGTATGTTATTATCAAGAGTCTCATGTGATAACAACAAGAATCTTCTATGTAAGAAAAAAACTCAGCAGCATATAAATTTATAAAACCACATAGAACACAACTAAAAGGTGATAAGGTGGTCCATAATTACAGTCTGTATATCACAGGCGGTGTAACCTTGATTTGCATGGCAATTTTAAATTTCTGAGCGTTATCATCAACAAACCTCCAACTTTCTTGGAATCCAGCCCTGTCTTTTTCCATATGGAGGAGGCTCTTTCTTAAAAGCTGTTACCTTTAACTAAACAAAGATCGACCATGTAAAAATCATAATAAACCTCGCGATCGAACAACAGGTCAAATCAAACATGGCCGACTACACAGAACGCTCACCTCTTTGTAAGCTTTCTCTAACTCATCGTCTTCATCTCTTTCGCGATAAGGCACATGCAGCGGTGCTGGAAGGAGACTGAAATAGTAAACGTCAGTTTTGTTAGCAAAATCTACAAAATATCTTCTTTTAAAAATGAAAAAGCTGATAGGAAGTACCTTGCTAAAGACATCTTTCTCCTGCTATGAGCAACGAAGCCGAATCGTCCGTAATCCCAAGAGTCCTTGCCAGCATGCTGCGATCATTCGAGTGAAGTGTATGATGGGACTTCTGAATATTTACGGGCTCATCGAAAACGTGGTGTGGTGAAAAGGTGTCCTCAAAAAAAGCAGATATTACTAATATTGAACCCACCGTTTTTTTTTTATCCTGAAACAGAAAATTCACCCAAGTTATGTCAAATTCTCAATAAGGGGTACCTTATGATCATGGATTCCGTCTTTCACTCGTGTAGATTATTTTAGATGTTGCTGAGTCATGCCTCCAGTGAAACTCCCCAAAAATTGAACCGCAGACAACTCCTCAATTTTGCAAGCTTATTGAATCTCAGCTAGTTTCTCGGTCAGCGGTTTATTCACACCGCTGAACTGACACAAAGGATGACATTCGTAAATTTGTTTCAAGCACATCAGCGAAATCGCAAAAAAGTATTGCTCCCAGGTTTCTTTTAGGTTTCATTTGCAGGTGGCATCTAAGTTGGAATGGCTTGGTACACAGGCTCGTCCCCAGAGCCCATCAGTTCTAATAACCGGTTGGGTTTGCTCGCTAAAGGAACCGATGGTTCCTGGGGATGAGAGAGG